TCATCATCTCATCATCATCATCATCATCATCATCATCATCATCATCATCTCATCATCATCATCATCATCATCATCATCATCTCATCATCATCATCATCATCATCATCATCATCATCATCTCATCATCATCATCATCATCTCATCATCATCATCATCTCATCATCATCATCATCATCATCATCATCATCTCATCATCATCATCATCATCATCTCATCATCATCATCATCATCTCATCATCATCATCATCTCATCATCATCATCATCATCTCATCATCATCATCATCATCTCATCATCATCATCATCTCATCATCATCATCATCATCTCATCATCATCATCATCTCATCATCATCATCATCATCATCATCATCTCATCATCATCATCATCTCATCATCATCATCATCTCATCATCATCATCATCATCTCATCATCATCATCATCTCATCATCATCATCATCTCATCATCATCATCATCATCTCATCATCATCATCATCTCATCATCATCATCATCATCATCATCTCATCATCATCATCATCTCATCATCATCATCACACACACACACACATATAACATATGTGTGTGTGTGTGTTTAACATATATATATATATACACACACACACACATATATATATATATGCATCTATATATACATGTATACCTACATGTAAATATACATGTACATATTCATGTATATATACACATATATATATATATGCATGTATATATACATGTATTTAACATATATATATATATACACACACACACACATATATATATATATTATACATATTCATATTCATATTCATATTCATATTCATATTCATATTCATATTCATATTCATATTCATATTCATATTCATATTCATATTCATTTTCATATACATATACATATATAAATATATACATATATATATATATGCATGTATATATACATGTATTTAACATATATATATAATATAATATATATAGATATTTATAATATACATAGTATATATATATATATATATATATAGGTATGTGATACATGTGTATATATAAATATATATATAATATATATATATATATATATATATATATATATATATATATATATATATATATATATATATATATATATATATATATATATATATATATATGACTATGACTATGACTATATGACTATATGACTATATGACTAGATGACTAGATGACTAGATGAATATATGTATATATATATATAAGTATATATATATATATGTATTCACACACACACACACACACACACACACACACACACACACACACATATATATAATTATATATATTATACATATATCATTATATATATATACATAAATATATATACACACATATATGTAATTATATATATATAATTATATATATAATTATATATATATACATATATATATAAATATATATATAAATATAT